CAGACTGTAACCGTAACACCAATCCAAGTTTAAATTACAAGACTGTAACCGTAACACCAATCCAAGTTTAAATTACAAGACTGTAACCGTAACACCAATCCAAGTTTAAATTACAAGACTGTAACCGTAGCACCAATCCAAGTTTAAATTACAAGACTGTAACCGTAGCACCAATCCAAGTTTAAATTACAAGACTGTAACCGTAGCACCAATCCAAGTTTAAATTACAAGACTGTAACCGTAACACCAATCCAAGTTTAAATTACAAGACTGTAACCGTAACACCAATCCAAGTTTAAATTACAAGACTGTAACCGTAACACCAATCCAAGTTTAAATTACAAGACTGTAACCGTAGCACCAATCCAAGTTTAAATGAGGAAAAAGGCATCTGAATGTATTTAAAACACATTGTTGAAAAACACACCTCTAAGTTTTGGTTGTCATTTTAAAAGTACCACATTCACCTAGGCTACAGTCTTCAAGGGCAAGAAATCGATGTTATTTTGGTCCCCACATCTTTCCACCAATGCTATAAATTATACTGTGGTAATTTTTGTTGTATTTTTCGTGTAAAAATCACAAAAGTTGCCGTGCATCCAACACACACGTGAAATAATATTTCTACATTGGTTCGATATTCCCACAGATAAAGTTGACAGAGACAAATACTGCCTAATGTACCACACGCTAGAGGTTTCCTCATTTTAGTTGGACAAACCATTAAATAAATCTGAAAACAAAAGAACAAGTAAATTTGGAGGATATCAAGGGCCAATCTGTGTCAAATTGTTCCAAAAACCTTACTTTATTTTCATTTAAACCAACACACAAAATTTTATAAAATTCGGACATAAACTGTCACCTCTATAGCGTTCACAAGCCACATTTTAACATAATTTTAGTGTATCAAGGGTTAAAACTCTGTTATCCTTGGTCGAATCGTACTTAATTTCGAACTTGTCCAAAATTTCCTGAATGTACATGTAACATTTTATAAAATTCTGACAAAAACTGTCACCTGTCAAACTTGATCTTGCACACCAAATTTTATATAAGGAGATAAAAACTATGAAAGTTGATTTAATCAGTATTATGTAAACACACCAAGTTTTGTTTCAATCCAATCAAAACTGTTGTTTCTATCCAATTCACAGGAAATTACTCCCCTCCCCCCCTATTAAGTCATAGAAACCTCAGACTCCCAAGTTCTTTCAACGGTAGAAATATCAAATATTATTCAATAAAATACCTGATAGAGGAAAAATACAGAACATAGCATGAACGTGACGCCATACTGGAACAAATCACTGGAAAATTCCTGAAACTATCAAAGAATAAAATAAATTCTGTAAGTATCCAAGGCATCATTTTTATAGACGTTTGTTTTTCCTGCAATTCCACTGAAACTAAATGTTTAATGACGTCACTAATCACAAAATATGCTTTATCACATAACGCCTTTTGTATTAGTGACGTCATAAAACACTTCGTTTTAGTGGAATTGCAGGAATCACGTCTGATTGAAAATTGGAATGATGTAAATTGATGCTATCAGTGTCCCTGATACACATAAAAATTTAGAAAACCTCTTTACAATCTCTTTAACAAGAACCACAGACGTCTGATTGAAAATTAGAATGGTGTAAATTGATGCTATCAGTGTCCCTGATACACATAAAAAATTTAGAAAACCTCTTTACAATCTCTTTAACAAGAACCACAGACATCTGATTGAAAATTAGAATGATGTAAATTGATGCTATCAGTGTCCCTGATACACATAAAAAATATAGAAAACCTCTTTACAATCTCTTTAACAAGAACCACAGACGTCTGATTGAAAATTAGAATGGTGTAAATTGATGCTATCAGTGTTCCTGATACACATAAAAAATTTAGAAAACATCTTTACAATCTCTTTAACAAGAACCACAGACATCTGATTGAAAATTAGAATGATGTAAATTGATGCTATCAGTGTCCCTGATACACATATAAAATTTAGAAAACCTCTTTCTAACTTACATGTAAATGTTCATCGTTCATGACAGCTACTCCTCTGACCAGATGTAAACAGGCACATAAAATATTTAATGCTGTAGACACCCAACCTACTATATCAAACGATACGTAGTGGACACCAAATGATGCTGAAAAATAAAAAATATTTAGCATGGTCAAAAATTGGAATGGTGCAAATTAATGCTATCACATATAAAAAAAAAAAGGGAAAACCTTTTTACAATTCCTTAAAACTAACATGTAAACAAAAAAGCTTGAGT